CCCCAAAACCCCAAAACCCCAAAACCCCAAAACCCCTTTTTCAAAATATTACCATTGATAGAGTTAAATCATAATCTTAAATTTAAAATGGAACTTTTACAAAATACTTTGACTAAGGTTTTAATTATCTGCTAATAAAATAAGTAAGTCTTTCTGCACTTAAAGCTTTTTTAGGAAGGGATTTTTCTTGATAGATGAACTTCAGAAGCTGATAAATATACTATCGTTCTTTAAATAAGTTCCTCACTAATCATAATCACAGCCTTAGTAATCTATGAAGTACAGCGAAGTTAATTCTATTGAAGAGATAGCGCCACTTTCATTGAATTCAAACTTGATTTCTTCATTGACATCTTCCATACAGCAGCATCCATATTTAACTAATTACGAATAGAAAGAATATATGATATATATAGAGACTACAGTGAAAATATCCTATCTCATAGTTGGAATGATTTTGAAAAATGAGTCTATTTCAAATAGTCTAAAAAACAACAGACAATTTAGCAAAAATTTTAAGGTTACTTTACTTTATCTCAATAATAGATTAAGAATCTCTAGATTGCTAGTTTTGATAATGCTTTAAGGAGATGATATCAATAACTACATATAAAAAATAAGTCTTATTGAAGCTGAGAACCTTAACTAAATGATATAGTCAGTTGTCTAAAAGAAATCAATAATTGAGAGATACTCGCAGTTCGCCACAGAGTAATTAGGGATTGAGCAAGATATCAGTAAGCTGAAGGCAAGCATTAAATCAACATTAAAGTTAGGGATGGTTTTAACTCCTCAAGATATGGCTGGTAATTAAAACATTGGCAACCTATTGAATTCTTATTTCAAAGGTCATAACAAGATTAGCTTTGATCTATTTATCAATGCCATTATCATTCATTACGACATAGATCTAGTCTCATAACCTGTTATAGCTTACTTCTTTCAAATGATATTTGAAATTTCTGAGCACAATACCAATATTTACGTGAATGATATCATCTTGTTGACTGACTTTATTTCAATTCCCTAAATAATTTTAATGCTTGAGAATGGGGTTTACAATTCATATTTAGTTTAAGATTAACTTTAAAAACTACTATCAGTTTCCAAAATGTAAGATTATAGACTTATTCAGACAGAGTACTCGTACAGACTTCTCATAAATAGACACACTATTGTATCAAAGTTGGTTCTCTTGTAGATATTTGGTTTAGATTCAATAAAGGTCAAGAAATCTAAATTGTTAAAAGATATTTCTCTGAAGTGCAAATTAAGAGAAGCTTTTAAGGATTCATAGATGAAATTTCATCTTTAGCTGGTAGATAAGATGTTTGGTATATATGAATAATCGATTAACAATGACCTTTCAAAAGAACTGAAGAAGTTAATTGTAAATGACGAATCTGTCCAGAACATGAGTGCTGTTGAAGATAAGAAATTGAATCATAAGGATTTAAGTAGAGATATGAATCTTTATTAGATCTGCGCAATTATTCAAAGATTCTAATTCTTTTAAAAGCAATAGTTTCAAGAATTACTTAGTCTTGAAAGTAGAGAAAAGGAGTTTCACGCTTCTATTGTAGTGCTATTAGATTCATTGACCTAAGAACGAATGATTTATAATGATGATATAATTGAACCCCCCAATTTTATCAGTGAAATATTTGACATTAATAAGTGAAGACATTAAGGCACACTTATGGCTAGAATTATTTTCGGTTTAGACGAAAGTAACATCACACAAGAAAAACTTAATAATCTTCGTAAAAATCAAAAGCAGAGAGAAAAAAAGAAAGTATTAAATGAAAAAATCGAACAAGACACATCAGGAAACAGCAATCAAACTAGGGAAAATAAGATCATGATTATCAAAGAGAACTACGCAGCCAAATAAGTGTTTTCAAGCAATAACATCAGAGTTCCACTACTAAAATCAGATTTTAATAGCTAACTGTCAGTTGGTGGATTTACACAATAAAATTCAAGATTTGTTAACAGCATTACTGGAGTCAACGAAGAGAAGGGTCAAAGTTCTCGGCAGCACATCTCAACATTCAACCCTAAGAGATAATCTAGAGTTACTATTAAAGAAGCCCCATAAAAGCAATTAGAAGATCATCAAACTACAATACTTGCTCTGAGAACTCTAGCAAAGACTCATTAAAATGCTATTTCACAATTAGCCTATATCAGAAGTGAGATTCTTCTATATATTGAGCAACTTGAGTAATTACTGTATAAGGCAGATATACATCATCTAGAGTAGAGGAAGAAGTAAATGAAAAATATGAGATTTTATGATTAGTAAATTGATCTTAAAGAAGAGAGTATTAAAGAAATGCTTGGACTTATAGCTGAGAAAGAAATGAATAAAAACTGGGTATAGGACGAGTTAGAGCAGCATACTTTAAAAACTATAGAAGTAATAAATATAAGTGATATTAGGATTGAAAGAGACAATCTTGAGATGCACTTGACTGAGCTGAAGAAAAAAGAAGCTGAACTGCATAAACTAGAAAACGAATTGGAGAGGGAAAAAGACAAATTAGAAGAAAAGAAGAGAAAGAGACTGGGTAGAAAATGATTGCATTTTCAGTAATTCTTAATTTCATAATTACTCTCATTTAACTCTTGTTGGGGTTTTGGGGTTTTGGGG